CGATTTCTTAGGTGTCATAGACGGCCCTCTTCCCTCACTTCCTCCTTCTACCTACCCAACACTTCTGGAGGAAATTTGGGGCAGGGTTGGAATGTGTCGACTGTTCTTGGAAGCAATTGCTACAGAAACAGTGACATAACATAGAGGAAACACTAACAGTGAGAGGGAGGGCGTATGTGAGGGTGACCCCTCTCAAGATTGCCGGTGTGGGATATCGAGATCCCTTCCCCTGAGAGGGACGGAGGAGCCGTAAAATTTTTAAATCAGCCGGAAGCGATGGCCGACTGTGCTTTCTGTCACCTACTTTCCTGCCCCTATCGAATCTAATCACAGTCTCGATTCAAGGCAGCCACGTTCTCTGCTACACTCCTCCTTCGTAGTATGGTATTTTGACATGCTTCAGAAGTATAGCATGGACCTCGAATACGGAGCTCAAAATTTTGCGGATACCTGCCTAAACGATGGCTCCTCTTCGACGACAAATAACTTTGGCCAAAATTTTGTAATGGTATCTTCCAGCGTGGCTACGACATACGAAGCCATTATTGATGTGCGTCTTCTTCAGAGCACTTTTCTTCTTCCTTCGGAACCCACTTCGATTTGCACACATTTCGATTTTTAGGCAGTGAAATCGTTTTGGCGTGAGATTAAACGGATTGGTGTCAATGGCGACATGATGTTCACTGAGCATCTTTCATACAGGCAACCCGCACCTCTCAACTTTACCCAAGTAAGTTTCAAGTTTGATCTGCAAAAGGAATTTCACCTCTGTAAGGGTCCCTGACTAGCGAAGGGTTCTGGCATGTGCACCCATGAAAGAAGACCTAATCAACTCGATAGTCAAAAATGTTGACTTTAATATTGAAGAGATCAACTGCTACACAAACTTTCCAAGCAAGCTGTGAGTGGTCAGGAAAGGCAGGAAATGCCGCGTCTGTTTTGAAGCGATGTGAGTTCACGGTAACAAAGGTTGCCATGACGCCTGCTACCGCTCTTTTCGAAACTGCGTATTAGGAGTGACTTCCTCACGCAAAATTTGAAGTCACAGCCCGAGCGAGCAAAGAGCGCTTGGGCCTTGCAAAGTAAGCTGCTGAAGCTGCAGATTTTTTCTCTTATCAGGCTGTTGTCTGGCGCTCTCTCATCTGTAGCGCTCTCTCGCCTCATACTCTCCTCTCCGCGCTTAGTCTCTCATTCCCTTAGCACAGCCGATTAGGAAGGTGAGTGAGCCCTTAACCTAAGCGTTTTTGACGGATTCTTTTCCTTTTTTCTTTACTGCCGGCCCATTTCGCACCAATACGGTACTCGCCGTAAAAATCGCAAAATTCACGCGAAAAACGCGATTTCGCGTTTTTTCGTTTTTTCGTTATAACTCGGTTTAAAATTAAGATTTTCAAAATCTGAAAACAGCATTGAACTCAGCTCGTCGAGTTCTATAAGAATGCCTAAAGTTTTCTAGAGCACTATTTGGATTGCGCCATGCACTCGATTTTCATCTCAAAAAGTAGTTGCTCGCATGTGATGTGTATATAATCCCGCTTATGCGGGCTGACCGCTACACACAAGAAGGGCCTCAAAACTTACCCCAGAATGCGCCACGTACTCAATCTCATCCACTACATTGTGAGATTAGATGAATGTTATTTTCCGAATTCTTAGATCTTCATTTCGTTTTTAAGCGCTTACTGGCTTTACGTGTTCCCTCTGCTCTCAATATCCCATCCTCTGTATATCAAGTGGAATCTTTGAACAGTTCTCAGCAGGCATAGTGGGCCTATTATGTGACATTTTCCATTTTCAGAGGAGATGTTTTGCAGAAAGCTGTGAAGATAGCGAACAATTTCCTTCACTGTCGTAGACTACGGTCACTTGTCTGTGAGGAATATGGAAACCTTGGTCGCAGTGAGCGTTTCTTCTTCCGTGTGTGACCCCAAACATCACCCCTCGTCATGCCTTGTGAAATGATCAGATTTTTTGCTTTTCCAGATGGACTGAGGAAAATGCGATGTGCACCATTCGATTCCCCATAACAAATACTATCGAACGGTATACAACACTGTCCATCCACCGTACAAATATTTGTTTTTCAACCGTGTCTCCCCCGATTCCGATCGCTAGCGGAAACAGCCCGAATCCGAAGCGTTGCGCCAGCGAATCGAACGTTGCACCAGCGAGTCGAACGTTGTGCCCAGCGAGTCGAACTAGGTACCAGCGACTCAATAGTGGCGGGACCTCAACGTTCAAAGGAAGCCCGCCACATTCAAACAGTGTCACGTGACATGGACGCTGTTTGAAAGGCGGAGTTGACAAGTGGGCACTGTTTGAAAAGTGGCGGGCTTTCTTTGAAAGTTGGGTCCCGCCACTATTGAGTCGCTGGTACCTAGTTCGACTCGCTGGTACATCGTTCGACTCGCTGGCGCAAAGTTCGATTCGCTGGTGCAACGTTCGATTCGCTGGCGCAACGCTCGGATCGAGCGATTCGCTAGCGAATCGCTCGATTCGCAAACTATGACATCGGCCTACGGCTGGTGGAGGCGCTCGGCAATAGGGAGAACGGTGAAAAAACAAATTTTATATGATCAGGTTATAACCGTCGATAGTAATTGTTATACGGAATTCGAATGGTGCACATCGCAGTTTCCTCAGTCCATCTGGAAAAGCAAAAAATCTGATCATTTCACAAGGGCATGACGAGGGGTGATGTTTGGGGTCACACCACGGAAGAAACGCTCACATGCGATCGAGTTTTCCACAATAATTCCTACAGACAAGTGACCATAGTCTACGACAGTGGAGGAAATTCTTCGCTTCCTTCACAGCTTTCTTCAAAACATTCCTCTAAAAATGGAAAATGTCACATAATAGGCCCCAATGCCTGCTGAGAACTGTTCAAAGATTCCACTTGAAATACAGAGGATGGGATATTGAGAGCAGAGGGAACACGTAAAGCCAGTAAGCGCTTAAAAACGAAATGAAGATCTAAGAATTCGGAAAATAACATTCATCTAATCTCACAATGTAGTGGATGAGATTGAGTACGTGGCGCATTCTGGGGTAAGTTTTGAGGCCCTTCTGTGTGTAGCGGTCAGCCCGCATAAGCGGGATTATATACACATCACATGCGAGCAACTACTTTTTGAGATGAAAATCGAGTGCATGGCGCAATCCAATATAGTGCCTCTAGAGAACTTAGGATATTCTTATAGACTCGACGAGCTGAGCTCAATGCTGTTTTCAGATTTCGAAAATCTGAATTAACGAGTATAAACGAAAAAACGGAAAAAACGCTAAATCGCGTTTTTCGCGTGAATTTTGCTTTTCGCAATTTTTTTTTCGCAATGGTGGGCGAGAGCCACACCACTGTGATCCTGGGGATGCCTTCAACACGTTGACGACCGCGTGGACACAGCCTTCGCGTCACGTTTTCTCGACAGTGGGGGGCCACGTGACATGATATCGTGTCACGGTACCCTCATTAAATTTTCGCTGTTACAAAACTTTTTAGGACACGTACCTACATACGTATGCGCCATAAGAAGACATGATTACAAAAGCGCGATCCCTGAAAAATGCATGAATAATGATCAGTGACCGCGCTTTTTATTCTGAGACCGGAAAAAAGCAGTGAAATTTGTTGCTAGCAATAATGGTCCGCTAAAACGAGTGAGACATTTTCGCAGCGGGCGAAGCATTTGCGCGTGCTTTATTCTTGCACATTTGTTTGTAGCAGCTATAGAAATAGAAATATTTGCCTTCAAAACCAAAAATTGCCAAAAACCCAAAATTGATATATGCCACAGAAGGAAGGTAACAAAAAGATCCACAGTTCCACCTAGTTCCCTGAAA